TTCTGGGGTGCGGTGAGGCAAACGCCGACTTCTGCCGCCAGGGACGCCCTGCCCCAGGGGCGGCCCGAAAGATCATCTACCCCCGGCGGGCGTCCCCGACGGCGCGCAGATGATGTCGCACGTGTCCTTGACTACCTACCAGACCACCCCAACCCAACCCGAAGACCCGAATTTCGGGTTGGGGGGGGGTATGGGCTCCATGCGTGTTTTCTCGATGCTCCCGGACCCCCCCCCCACTGGAAATTGAGGGTAAATCTGAGCCTTCGGGTTGGGTTGGGGTGGTTTGGTGGGTGGTGACCGCCCCTGGCGCGCTCCGCGCGCCAGGGAGGGGGGGTCCAGCGCGGATCCAGGAAATCCGCGCGGACCTCCGAGCGTTTCGGTTTATACTTTGTGCAATAATGGACTCTCACATCCTGCAAGGTTCCCCCGGGGCCGTAGGCGACCCGAGGAGGAGGAGGAGGAGGAGGAGGAGGAGGAGGAGGAGGAGGAGGTGGTTTGGTGGGTGGTGATGTCCTGGGCCCCGCCCCCCTCACACGAGAACTGGGCGCCGTTGCCAGCACCGGTGCTGCCACCAGGGAGAGCGCCCGGGGGAGGAGCGAGAGAGGGAGCCCTCCAACGGCCACGGCGGGCCTCCTCCGCCCACGGAGAGAGGCGCCCCGATCGTGGCATCTCGAGGGAGGGCCCGCCAACGAATGATGGGCCCGCTTTCCACCACCACTACTGTATGGAGGAGGAGGAGGAGGAGGAGGAGGAGGAGGAGGAGGAGGACCTCCTCATCCTCCCTTCTCCCCCGACCTACATATGGTAGTGGTGGTGGAAAGCATGCCCATCAAACGAAGGCCCCTCCCGAGCCCAAAATGGTACAGTCAACCAGCAGGATAAGGATGCGCAATAGTTGCCGTCGCTCGGACGTCCGTTTCCCGTGCATTTGTCGGTTTCGTGCGTTTTTGGTTGCTCGATGGTCCAGGATGGTCCTCGACGGTTCTCGCCAAGAGAAAACGCACGCGTCCGAGCGATGCAAGGGCCTTGGACGCCCATTTCGAAGCTTCTCCGGGCGGGACGCGGCCAGTGGAAGCGGCGAAGGGTGGACCGAGGAGGCAAGGATACAAGGGTACCGTTGGGAAGGTTGCCCCTCCTTACTATGCAGGTTGACTGTGCTTTTATCAGCACCTTTCTCACATGGGGCTGCCCAGGGCAAGGCTGCCCAGGGCAGGCATCGGAGCTCTGGGGGACGACACCCGAACCCCACCCTCACCAACCATCGGCTCTCTGGAATCGACGGGATGGAAGACGACGAGTAAGGGGTCGGATTTCGCCACGTGTTCGACGAATTCCAAATCCCACCCCCGCCGCCCATCCAGTTGCCTGAGACGTTGATCCGAGGTCGCCACCGACAGGGAGGGCGGCGGAAAATGGCCTTGCCGAGTGGAGGCACGGCGAGGGCCAGGCCACGTGGCGCCAGAAGCGGGGCCCCGTGGTCAAGAGAGGGCACCGTCGCCACGCCCCGCAGTCGGGCGATAGGCGAAGCACGGGCGCGCCTGCTGCGGAGGACGGGGCGAGGAAGAGCAGTAGCAGGAAGGCAGGAGGAGGGCAGGATTCGCGGAGGGCTCCTCCGCGGTTTCGCCAGGGCTCCTCCGGGGGGCCACTCTGGGAGGCGAAGCCCCTCGGCGCGCCCCCGCGGCCAACCGGCCGGCCGCTTTGCCAGGGTCCGTCAGGGTGCGCTGGACGCTTCGCCCCCCCTGTAGCTGTGCGTGGAACGCCCAGCCGACAGGACTCGAGGCCGCGGAAGCAGGAGCAGCGGGAGCGAGAGCAGCAGCGGGAGCCGCGGCGAGAGCGGGAGCGGGAGCGGGAGCGTCGAACGGGGGCGACCAGCGGGAGCAGGAGGTCGAGCCGGGGCAGCACAAGGAGGAGGAGGAGGAGGAGGAGGAGGAGGAGGAGGAGGAGGAGGGGGAGGAGGAGGAGGAGGGGGAGGAGGGGGAGGAGGAGGAGGCGGAGGAGGAGGAAGAGGAGGAGGGAGGAGGGAAGGAGGAGGAGGACGAGAAGGAGGACGAGGAGGAGGCGGAGAAGGAGGAGGAGAAGGAGGAGGAGGGGGAGGAGGGAGGAGGAGGAGGAGGAGGAGGCGGAGGAGGAGGAGGAGGAGCCGGATCCCTCCTGACCTGAACCTCCGAGAGAGTGGTCCTGAGCTCGGCGCCCTGACTGCATTCCGTACACCCCCGGGACGCTGCGGACGGGCGTCGGGCACGGCGCGCATCGTACTTGTTGCAGTTCTTCACGTAGGTGGCCGAGCCAGTCGCGTCCTCGGGGGCGAACTCCCACGCCGCCCAGCAGCCCGTGAGCCATGGGCGGCATGGAGGAGCAGACTCTGAAATGGCCACACCAGGGCCGTACAAGATCATCATAATGACGTGGCGGAGCACAGAAGCACAAAAGGTCCAGGAGACGCGCGCTAAGCTTGTGTGTAGCATTCAACCAGGTATGCTGGGCGACGCGAAATACATGTAAGTTATTTTCCGTGTGGGTGAGCTTGCATGATTTGAAAGTGCCTGGTAGCTCATGCCATGGCTGCCAACATGAAGGATCTACATGTTGAGCATATTCTCATCCCTGTGCGTCCCCTCGCCCGCCCATAGTCCCACCAGCCCTTTAGGGCGTAGGTGGTCTAGACCGTGACCTCTGCCAACCCCTTTCTTTCCCTTCGGGGAGGGGTTTACCCCTCCCCTTATCCCTCCCCACCGATCTGGACGATGGGTTCCGCGGGTCGTTGGGACGTCCAAGATGGCCCAAGACGGCTCCAAGAGCGAAAAAGCGAAAAAGCACAAAACATTGATTTTCCTTAGGTTTTGGAAGGATTTTGGCCTCTTGGGGGGGCCCAAGAGGCGATTCGAGGCACTCTAGAGGGGCAGCGCTAGTATACGACCCCCCTTCGTTGATAGATCTCCTCCAACATGGCCCCAAGAGCGCCCCGAAGGCTCCCAAGAGCGCCCCAAGAGCGCCCCAAGAGGGCCCCAGGAGGCCCCAAGAGGCCCCCAAGAGGCCTCCAAGAGGCCCCCAAGAGACCCCCAAGAGGCCACAAGAGGCTCCCCGATATACGCAAGAGGCCCCTGGGACCGCCAAGAGGCCCCAAAAGACGGCCCAAGAGGCCCCCAAGCTCGCCATTGTCCTCCTCCTCCCTCCTCCTCCTCCTCCTCCCTCCTCCTCCTCCTCCTCCTCCTCTTCCTCCCCTCCTCCTCATGTTCTTCCTACTCCTCCTCCCCTCCCTCCTCCTCTTCCTCCTCCTCCTCCTCCTCCTCCCCCTCCTCCTCCTCCTCCTCCTCCTCCTCCTCCTCCTCCTCCTCCTTCTCCTCTTCCTCCTTCTCGTCCTCCTCGTCCTCGCAGTCCTCCATCTCCTCCTCCTCATCTTCCTCCTCCTCCTCCTCACCCTCCTGCTCCTGCTCCTCCTCCTGCTCATCCTCTTCCTCCTCCTACTCCGACGACGACGGCTCCTCCTACATCCTCTCGCTCTTGGGGTATATGGCGGCTCACCCCGCCCTTTCTTCTTCTGCATGCTCCCCCGCTTCCCTCATAACCTCCACTCCCCTGGGACTCATTTCTGGACGGGCTGGTGGGGATACGCGAAGCGTTTAGAATTCGCATCCCCACTCACACCCCAAGCTCTGCCTTTCCCTCTCCTGACGTGATCCCCCTCACGTGCTCACGCAACTCGCGATCCAAGAGAAGACATCTGCGGGTTTCCTCTGGCCATAATCAGGTCAAGATGTGTCAACCGCGCCCTTCTGGCGAAAGGGGAAGTGACGAGGAGGATGAGGCTGACGCTCGGGACTAAGATGAGGATGCGGATGAGGATAGGAACAGGGACGAGGATGGAGACAAGGACAAGGACGAAGACGGGGGCGAGGCCAAGGATGAGGACGGGGATGAGAATGAGGATGAGGACTTGGACAGGAATGATGACGAGGAAGGAGATGAGGACGAAGATGAGGACTGGGACCACGACCATGCCAGAGCCCCCTTGAGGCTTCCTGGGAGGCCTGGAAGCGGAGGCTCCTGCACCACGACACGCTCGGGGACGCTCCGAGTCCGACCGCGGAGGAGGACGCCGAGAAGCATCCGTCGGCTGGCGTGCCACTGCTGACCATTTTCCCATGCAACACACTTCGGCCGAGAAGGCAGCTTCACGCGCGTCTGCAACAGGAGTAGAGGGCAGAAAATCCACCCCGACAATAATCACCCCGAGAAGCGAAGCCATTTAGTAAACGCGCCCCAGGAAGGAATCGAACAGGGCGGGGCTGTTTAGTAAACGCCCAGGGCCGTTTGATAAACGTCAATTATCGGGTCCGGGTGGTTGTTCCTCCCTTGAATTAGGTCGGGCATGTCTCCCTACAGGCGGATTTTGGGCGAAAATCACAAAAATACTCCACAAGTTACAGGAACAGTCAAGGCAGGTCGAAAAATCGTCCCTGACTATGTTTAGACTATCTTTGGATATTCCTCCTGTAGACGGACACGCCCGCCGTAACCCTTGAAGGAGGCGGGGGAGGAGGAGGAGACACTTCACGAGGCACAAGGACCGAAGAACAAAAAACTTCAGAGAACGAGTTGATGCACTGGGCGCCCGCCCCGGCAACGGCACCGTGCCTGCGGAGCTGGCAACCAGAAGCACCCCGGGGTCATCCTGCTCCCGTCGCACTTAGGGACCACGTCCCAAAAACAACGCCGAGCACCCAGAAGAGTATCGAAGCAGCGTCGAAGAGTATCGCCCCCCAGGGCCCGTGAAAGCCCTCCAGTTTCGGCACTTTCGTGGTGTTCGAAACTGCTTCTGGTGATCAAGGCACTAAGCAGGTTGGAACATCATAACCCCAGGGCTGGCCACAGCCTGCCGTCACTCCCGGCGCCGGCCCGACGGCCGAACCCCCTGGACAACGCAGCTGACCCTCCCGCAAGGCGCGCCCCAGCGCGGGCACGCTGCGGAGAGCCGGGCACGGCCGCGCGGCACCCCGGGCTCACGTGCCCCGTATCTGCCTCACCTCATCCTTGTACATGAGAGTAAATCTGGCCCTCTCGTGCATCATTGCCGACTCTATCAGCAGCTGGAAGGTGATCAGCGCGGCGAGCATGCTGCCGATCGTGGTGGTGTACATCGACTGCGTCAGGTCGTCGGAGATGAGGGAACAGGTCAGCAGCTCGGTGGACTCGCAGGCGTCGTTGATATCGATAGAGCTGGTCGCCCAAAACGATGACAAGAAGTCCTGGATGCCTGTGAGGATTCCAGTGCAAACCGTGTTGTCAGTTAGCATGTATATCTCGGTGCACCCCGCGCTGAGGAAGGCCTGGACACCGGCCAGGAAGCAGAGGAGGATGGACACTATGAACAGAATCAAAACGATTACCTGAACAATCAGTATCACAGACCAGAAAACTATGTGGCTGTCGTGGCAGGACCTGCAGCAACTCATACAGCTGTCGCAGCAGACCCAGCAGCGCTCGCGGAAGGTCCGCGGTGGCTGGTACTCCAGGGCCTCGTCCGTACTCTTGGGACCTCCAAACCATCCACATGCCCACAGGCCGTAGAAGAGGGTACTCGTCGTCAGAACCATCCAAAGAACCCAGTAGAAGATCCAGAGCTCTTTGTAGAGGGTAGAAATCGTGGTCAAAATGTCGGGGCCCACGTCCTCGAAAGTGGTGAAGATGGAGATGAGATTGGAGGCCACAGAGGATACCTCCGTGCGTGCCGACGTCATGTCTGTCACGACTCCAGGAATCTGAAGCTGTATCGCGTCCAGGAGGGTGACCAGAGAGGTCCAGGTCGTAGAAAGCTGAACTTTAACCTTTTCCTTCGACGTTCGGCGGGCGGTGCGGTGAGCCTTGTTGACGCTGCGGATGTGCGACGCCATACCGGCGTCGAGCAGGCTGAGGGAGTCGAGCGCCTGGTCGTCCGCCTGCTCGACAATACTCTCGAGCTTGTCGTTGATGTACTCCATGATGCCTTCGATCATGTCCGTAGCTGCGGACTCGGTGAAGTTGGCCATTTGTTCTTCGATGGTCGCTATCCCCTCCTCCGTGGCGTAGTCGTACATTAGCTCGACGACGGTGACGATGCCATCCGCCATGACCGACACCTTGTTTGCAAAGGAATTCAGCGTGCTGCTCGACTCCTGCGACCACTGGAAGCACATCGACTGCAGCCGGTCTGCGGTGCCCGACGCATTGCTCTCAAGGTACGCTGCGAAGAGGAGAGTCTCCGGGTGCGCCGGCACACCCGAGTTCACGGTCTGGTCCAGCGTCGGGTCAGTCGTCGAGCTCGACGCCGCCACGCCGCCAAGCAGGCGGTGCTTCAGCCTCGAGGCGCCGCCAGAGGAGTAGCGCTCCATGATCGCTGCCCTCTTCTGCCTGCGATGTGACGTTGCTTTGTGGCGCTTCAGCGTGTGCTTCGTGGTCTGCCTCGCCAGCTCAGAAAGCGACATCGACTGCATCGAGAGATTGCTGCTGTCTCTAACCTGGAGGAGAGACTGGGCGTTTCCCCTGATCAGCTGGACAAACTGAGCGTAGGACCTGATGTACCGGGCCCGCTTGGGCAATGACCTCGCCTCCTCGTCACTAAGACTCATCAAGTTTGAAGGAATAGTGGCCGTAGAGTCCTCTGAATTCACAAGCTCATCTTTGGTCCTATGATACACTGCGGCGTCTGTAAAATTATCGTAAATGTAATCCGTGATGTCAATGTCTGTGATCCCAAGCGATTCAAATGCCAGCACAAACCAGTCAACTAGATATCCTACCCACGTCGGCTGGTAGTAGCTATCCCAACCCTCCTCGTCCCAGAAATCTGCACCCTGCACCATCCGAAAACACTCCATGACATACTCCGGCTCCAGCGAGATCATTTCAGTAATCACCGTCAAAGAGGTGTCCGTGGTGGTGTAGACGTTCTCGTCAAACTTCTGATCCGCGAGCTCCACCAAGATGTCCGCGGTGAACGCGGTCGGCAGACTCTTGTTGGTCAGCGCATTCGACACCCAGCCGACCTTGGTCATATTCTTCGCGCAGACGAGCTTCAAATAGTTCACGACCTGCTCGCTGACCTCACAGCGCATGTACGCAGATCCAATGTTGCCCGCGATGGTCGAGAGCTTGTCGGCGTACGTTCTCAGAAGGACAGACATGTCGACCTGAGAGTCATCGACCATGTTCCAGAATTCGCCCTGACACAGCTGCCCGTCGCCGTTCTCGTCGTACTTGAGGACGAGCGACGACGCCGTGCTACCCTGGAGCTGGGAGATGGAATACAGTTCCGCCACCGCCTCCATCTCCGAAATGTTGACGAACGAATCTTCGTTCATGTCGAAGAGATTGTACGTCTCCCACACCATTCCGAGCTTGTTGTCCCCGCCTCGAGGGCGCCAAGCAAGATGACGCATCCCAGGACCGAGAACGAAGCAGAGAGGACAGCGGGCTGCAGAGTAAGGGGCTGTCAGATCGAGGCGGATGCTCAGACACCGACGAGGGCAGCCATTTGCCAACCTCTTCCCAAACCCCTTCCCCTCACTCAGGGAAGAGCCGCCGACCCCGTGGGGTGAAAAAGCGTGTGAGATCCACTCCCCATTCTAGGTCATCCCCCCCCCGCCCAACCCTCATGTAGCACGTTTGAGGGAGGGGTGGGGCAGCCTAGTCACGCTTCATCCTGAAGGCTGCACTGCCCCCTGGGTCCCACCTGGACTGGCCCATATGGCTCTAAGATTGCCCAGGACGACCTCATGGCGACCTCAATGCCCCAGGACGGTCGAAGATGGCCCCTGACACCCTAGAGGGCTCTGAAGACGCCCTGAGAAACCCAAAAGAAACCCAAAAAGGATTCTCAAAAGATCCCAAAGAGGCAAACCTTCTACAAAACCGTTTGCTCATATGCCCCTACGCCTCGAAACCCCTATGAGGCTACCCAAAGCCATCCTCAGAGGACTTCACACGGCAAGAACACAGGCAAAATTCTGCCCGTGGCGTCGGCCCCAGCGCTCTGCAAGCGAGTCCGGAGCCCAAATCGCAGGCCCCTGGCTGAGCCGGCCGGCCTTCTGCCAGGCTGCGCCGAGGCATGCGAAGCAGCACAGCACCCACCCCGCACCAGAGGTCAGGACCCAGCAGGCGGGGAACTCCATAACACAAGGACATCGGCGCGACCGGCGGAGCTGCAGATCCCGTCCCCCGCGGGAGGCCCCGAGCGCGCTCGCCGAGAAGAGCGCGCCGGCACTGCGCGCCATCTGTGGCTGGCATCACAAGCGCCTTCGTAGTTCCGAAGTGATCATGCACGTCATTCACGCGCGACGAACGTATACATATCCACGCCCTCGCGGTCTGGACTCCAAGGCGCGATCTCGCGGATTCGCTGTTGTACGGATATGTTCCACTCGGGACATCAAAGAAAAAAAACGCCCCGTATTCGCAGGGTCGCGGCCCAGGGGCCTAGTCCGCGAGGCCGGGGACACGGATGTGTTTTTCGGTCACGAAGTTGAGGCTTGCACGGTTGAAGCGTAGGGCCCGTTGGCGGGCCTGCACAGGGCCTATGGGGGCGATGATCCTCACCCTGAGGGCTCTGGGATGGGTCGGGATTGAGCCTGAGTGGTGGGAGGACCCCGACGGTTGCGAGTGGCGACTCAATCCCGACCTGCCTGGAGAGATGTCTAAGTCGAGCGAGGCGCTGGTGGAGTCGGTCAAACGCCAACTCTGGGAGCAGGCCTCTGATCGGCGGTGGACAAACCTCCCTTTAGTAGACCTCCCCTTAGTGAAAACGGCCTGGGACCGAAACCGACGGACCCGGACCCGCAAAAATGACGGCCGCGACGCCCTCTCGCGAATCGAGAACGGCCAATTCCTTAATCGACGTGTCAGGGTAGGAGGTCTGTCCACCCCCGATCTGAGCACTCCGAAGAAGGGTACTTAAAAGTCGAGGGGGGCGATCTGACCATGCTTCGCAAAAATCTGCCCTGGGTGCTCAAGAAAAGACATGCACCGGGCGGCTGGGGCCCTGGAGGGGCTTGCCTTGTGGCACGCTGCAGCAGGGGGACCGTCGGCGCCGAGCCGGGTACAGCACGGGAGGCTTGTGTGAGAAAGGCGGCCTCCGCTCCCCGGACACGATTCGCCATCGAGCTTAGGAGCGTCCCTGCGCTGCAAGCAGAGAGCACCCCTGGATCCAGAGGACTAATTCTATGTGCCAGCGCGTTTTGAATGATCTCGACGACGGGGTCAATGAGCCTCTGTGGCTGAGAGGTGTAGTGCCGATTTCGTCGAACCAAGTGCCCGCTCCACCTTCGTGGGGGGACCAGAGTGCTTGGCGAATTCGAGATGTCGATGCCCCCACCCCCGGTCTCGGCCCAAGCTGGAGAGGTACCCCAGTCCTGGGCCCGACTTGGGGCTCGGAAGGCGTTCTCGGATGGCTCTGGCACGAGTTCGGCCCCCAGGTCGGTGCGTGTGGGTTGGGGAGTGTACCTCCAGCACCCTCCCTCTCTCTCTGCCTCAGGGCTCCTCCAATCCAGACCCCTCCCCAGGGTGGTATGGAGGCGTTGACGGCAAGCAGAGTGCTCCTGCTGCTGAGGTAGCTGCTATGTGGTGGTGCCTCCGCCTCACGGAGGGCGAGCTATATGCGTATACCGACTGTCAGTTTGTTTTTGAAGGATGGTACGGGGACCAATTGGAGCGGCCTTCGGGGGCCCAGAAACTCAGGTGGGAAAGGATCTCCCAGGCCGCCCGAGCCCGTCCCGACCACATCAGGTTGCACAAGTGTTGCTCTCATTGGGATGCTGCTTCCCACACGCGGCTCGGCCAAGGAGTTGAAATCTCGCGTGGGAATGAAGTTGCTGACGCCTTCGCCCAACTCGGGGCCCAAGAGGCTCATGCGTGGATAGCGGCCCAAATCCGTCACCTCAATCAAGGGGATGCGACTGCCGCGCTGGTGCACCAGCGACTGGCCGCTGTCTGCGCCGAGCTGACCGCCGAGGCGGTCGACCAGGACCGCCACGCGCGCGGGGCGCCCGAGGGGGAAGGCGAGGCGTCTAGGCGTGCTGTGGCCCTAGAGCAAATGTCTGGCCACAGGGCTGAACCTAAACGGTGTTTTTCGATTTCGTGTTGTTTTCGTTTTCTCTCGTTTTGTCTTCAGTCCGCCTTTAGTGCAAAACGAAATCGAAACGATAACGGCCCACGAAATCGCCGAAACACCGTTTAGGTCCACCCCTGTCTGGCCACAATATGAAACGTGTTGCCAATCGGGGGTGGGTCTGCTCGTTGTGCCGTTCGGGCCCTGGTCGGTTATCGCTGGTTGATTGGCCTGAGAAGTGCCGCTGCCAGGAGGATCTCACGCTCCGTATGCAGAGGGGTGCTGGAACCCTCGTCCTCGTACCACCCCGAGTTGTGAGCGAGATTCGGACGCCCACGCGAAGTGTCCATCCGACGCACACTTTGGCCATGAGGCATGGTCTGGTGTGGTGCTGGAGGTGTGCTCATGTCGGGAGTGTGGTCAGTGGTGAGCAATACCTGCGTAACTTGAGGAACGGTAAGCCCCCCAAGCCAGGGAAGCCCCTGGCCCATCCCCCCGCGTGCTGAGAATCTGGGGGTGCAAGGGGGCTTGACCGTGCAGAATTCGTTTCTAGAGAAGTCCCGTAAGTAAGCATACTGAGGGCCATCCGTACATAAAATCTGAGTTTGCCCAGCTGTGCCAACGGTGCTGTCCTGGGAACCTGCTGTAATCTCCCTGTAATCTCCTCCCCTCTCCTCCTCATCCTCCTCCTTCTTCTCCTCCTCCTCCTCCTGGGGAGACGAAGGACATCTTTGTTCGCTCGTGGATTGTTCAGACGCCTCGTTTCTGTGCATCTGGCTCGGCTGTCAACATTGAAGCACAGGTGGTAGTGGTAGAGTCGACAACCCTGCTGAGAGTTGAACGAGGCAGGAGAAGGCTTTCGCTGACAAAACTGCCTGGGCATACTTGTGCGAGGGAAGGCACCCTAAGCCGCTAAAGCAAGAGAAGGATTTCAAATTCCTCCTGTCACTTTGGCCCTCTTGAAGTAGGGTAGGTATCCGTAGAGTTTTTTACAAATCCCTCCTCGTGCTACCCATCCTTCTCTTCATCCTCATTATCCTGCTCATCCTCTCTCGTTGAAAGGGGGAAGAATAAAAAGGGGGAGGGGACGAGGGGTAGATAGTGGGAAGGGCTGGGCGGGAGGCAGTGGCAATGAACAGGGAGAGGGGTTAGACGAGGGGGAAAGGGAAGAGGGTGGGGGTCGACGGGGACGGGTATGGGGAGGAGGCTGGGACAAGGGGGGCGTGGAGCAGAGGAATGTGGAACTCCAGAGCGGGAGAAGGAGGAGGGACGGGCAAAAAAACGAAGAGGAGGGAAGAGAGAGATGCAGTGGTGGTGGTGGTGGTGGTGGGAGCAGGAGAAGAGAAACGGAACGGAGAAGGCACATCACACGTAGGGGGAGGGCTCATACTCCAAGCCTGAAGTACTCAGCTGCGCCATAATCTGGTCGAAGATCCTCGTGCCCCCGTGCAAGAGGCTGCCAGGCTGCGACACATTAAGCAGATCCAGTTTCGGGGAAGGGGCTGAAATTCTGGACGTCTCTCGGCGGGACAGAACCGAAGCTCTCGTCTTCGTCCTCCTCTACAGGCTCGGGAATACTTCGCATAACGCTACAGCGGCGCCCGAACAACAGCCGAATAACAAGTGCGTAATGTTGCACCGCAACATCATGCATGTTGATGCGGCCCAACTAAAGGACCTGCTGCAGCGGGACACCCTTGGATCATCCAATCCTTTAGCTGAATGCCCTGGGACGGGATGTCGCTGCCAGGGAGGAACACCGAGACCTCTTGAATATCTCTTGAATTCCCTCCTGAAGCTCCATCTGGCAAGGAGCTTCTATATCGGCGTGGGCACGCTGTCCGTGATACCCCAGCTGGGGGTGGCGGACAAGTCCAAAGGCTCCAGCATCTTCTGCACCATGTCGATCGTCACAGTGAAGCTGTCAAGAATGCCTGTTCGAAGTGCGCTGACACTGCAAGTTTCTCCCCACCTCCTCTTCCTCTCGATGCCCTCCTCTCCTCCCCCTCCTCGTCCCCCTCCACCCCCTCCCCCTCCTCCTGCTGCCCCGCTGATGATGGCACAGGAGCTGTACTGGCGCTTCCTCCCCCCCGCATCCTGGGCCGGTGCAGGGCACACGGAAGCATGGACGCCGTCATCGGAGCATGTCGACTCCACGGGACGCGCCTCGCCCCCCAGTGGGGTAAAGGTGCGTCGGGGTGCCGTCGCAGCGCGACCAGAGCGCCAGGTCAGCGGGTCGCCAGCGCTGCTGGAGGCTGGCGGGGCGGGCAAGCAAGCAGAGCGGCATCTTCGCCGACCTCTAGGGGAAAGAGAGCTATGCACATATACCGGTTCTGACCAGGCCCATCCTGAGCCCAGGATCGGTGCATATGCCCTCCTACCTTGGCCAGGAAGGCATGTATGTACCGATCCTGGGTCAAGGATGGGCCTTGCCAGGATCGGTGCGTGTGCATAGTTCTCTTCGCCCGAACATCGTCTGCCCAAGCGCTGAGCCCATTTCCAAGCTCCGAAGCGTCGGCGGCAACACGCGCGGTGCGTACGGCTGTTGCCACCGCCCGCGCGCCAGGCGCAAACGGCGGGTAGCCTCCTCCTCCTCCTCCTCGCAGTCACACTAGTCGATGTCTCCCATAGCTCGTTCAATGGGTGCGTCATCATCGCGCGCGTCGAGAGCTTGCGCCAGCACGTGGCCCGCCTCGTTTGAATATTCCCGCTCCTGGAAGCACCGCTGGATCGTGACATGGGCATCCTGTCGTGGTCCACTTCCCTAAGAAACCCCATTGGCAAATCGACTGTGATGGCCTTCCGTGATTGGACGTCGAGCTGGGTGCTCAGTTCCGTGACCGCAGCGTCGATTTCGCTGGGGATGCCATCTGAGGGCTCCGCGTCCACCTGGGCGTCCCCCTCACCCCCGAAGAGACAGCCCTCGAGTGTAACACCGAGGCCATGAGCCCTCTGCTGGCGCGTGGGCTCTGCACAGGCCCCGCGGGGCGCACGCCCCCAGTTCATCGAGGCCACCCACGAGATCGTGGAAGGCGAGGAGAAGGGCCCCCGTCGCCTCGAAGTCCTCAACCTTTTTTTTGTTTTTTCTTTTTATATATATATATATACATATATATATATATATACCCAGCTCCGGTAGCAAGACCGCCCCGCACATCCCCCTTTGGCTGGCAGTGTGACCGAAAACTCTCCGCTACCACATCCATGACACCTGGGGGCTTCACAGTCACGGCCCCAGGGAATGCCGTCATCACCCCTGCCGTTTCCAGACGCTCTACGGCCACGCCGAATGCCTGCCCCGAAAGCATATCTCGTCGCATTGGTGTGAAACCTTGGCGATCAATGCAGCAATGCCCCGCCCGCGCGAGCGTCTCCGCCCTCTGTTGCCTGTACCTTTGCCCCCCATCCTTCTCCTTTATCTTCCGCCTTGCAGGGCATAAAGACTTGCGAATCAACCTCCTCCACATCCGCTGAGATTTTTGTGACAACCACCATAGATGTTCAGCACTGTTGTTCATCGTCCACGTTCTGAAAATCTGCCCAGTCAAGGGCCCGGTACAATGGGAGGAGGCAGTCCTGGAGTCAGCGCGAAAGTCATAGGCGTCGTCAGCGGCACATGTTGACATCGTGGGATGCGCCTCGCTCCAAGGGGTGGAGCTGTGTTGAGGTCCTGTCGCAATGCGACTAGCACGCCACGTCGACGGGTCGCCGGCGTTCTTGGAGCCCTGTGGACTGAAAAATAGAGCGGTGTTTTAGCCAGCACCCTCTGCCCAGACGCTAGGCCCGTTTCCAAGTTCCGAAGTGCCGTTGGCGTACACGTGGTGAATACGACCGTTGCCACCTCGACCTCGTCCAAATACTGAACCACTATTCCCTTGAGAGCGCTCAGCGATGTGTCTGACGAACCGCTTGCGCGCGATTTGGACTTCGTGCTCCACCTGAATGCGCGGCATATGGTGGTTGAGTGGTGGTAGCACTTGCATAGCCCTCGGGGTGCCAAACCCTGGGGCTCGGAACAGCACTGCAATGTGGAATTGGGAACTCGGTATGTCAAATACAGCCGACTGTGCGTCGAGACGCGCCTTCTTGAAACTGGTGAGGGTTTCGTCGATGCGCTCGCTATTAGTCACATGGATGAATACCGGAGGTGCGCTGACGCTCATCCTCAAAATGCTTAAAACTCATGATCCGGATGAGGATGTTGTCGGTACAAAGATCGGCACCGGCACCTCTGATGTTCACGCCGAACTTACTGATGCCTGGCAGGATACGCATGACGATCTTGCGCGTAAAACCCCCTAGCCCTCGTTGGACGCTGCAGCTTGTCGCTGCGGGGTCATGCGAGCACCTCTGGGAACGAGCCAAGCGTTGACCTCACAGACAAATTCCTGAAACAGTGCGTTCCTGGCTGAGTCTTAGGATGTGGGTGTCTTATTGTCGTTGCCTCCATTGAGGTGCGAATATCCGATAGCGGACCCAATGCACAGCCACATGATCGCATTGATAACCAGCCCCTCAGGCGCGTTTCCGCCCGTTGTTTCTATCTTTATGGGTGCGGCCAAGCGTCGCGGTTGGAGGTTTAGCACGCTTCCGCGCGACATGTTCCCATGTTCGAGTCTTTGGGGCTTGGTGTCCAGTTCGCCTCCTGGAAAGAATACAAGCCTGGTAGATGCGAAGCAGTTCACCATCGTGGAAGTAAGCGGGTCCTCTCGTGTTGGCTCTTGCAGTTCGAGCTTGCCTTCAAGCTCATGGCAATAAAAGCGAATACAGCCACGGAGTCGCGGATGGAGCGAGACTCGTAATGGAAAGTGACAGCGGTAACGTGGATCGCACCTGAGAGTAGAATAAGACCACAGATTGGAGAGAGCCAGCCACACGAGAGTGTGGCCAGCTCCGATACCACCTCGAAAGCAGCGAGGTAACGTCACAAGGTAAATAGCACGCAATCTGATGTAATAGTAGTAGATGGGATGTAATGGGTGAGGAAAAGGATGGTTATCATTCCTCTCACGTAGCACCGACATTCGATCGGCAACAGAGGAGCGCGCTATCTGTCCCCCTGACGCCTCCCTTAAAGTCCGCTAGTTCGTTCACAACTGTGGCAGCGAAATGGAGGAGCAGATAGGGAAAAACATGTAAATGGAAGCGAGCGCGCAGGCTGGATGTCAAGACCAGCGGAACATATCGGGCGGGCGCCCGCATCCAGCCTCCTGCTCCTCCTGCTCCTCCTCCTCCTCCTCCTCCTGCTCCTCCTCCTCCTCCTCCTTCTCCTCCTCCTCCGCCGCCTCCTTGACACACTGTTACCCCTTCCGCCAGGCCACCCTCCCCCATCGTCCCAAGACCCCTGCAAGCCCCCGCATCCGCGCATTTCAAAACTGTGCGTCCGTTTCGAGTCTGCCTTGGATTGAATCGCCGAACGTCGTGATCCACGTCTGAAGCTGGTACAGGCCGGGCAGGATGATGTCCCAGAACTCGTAGAGCTTCTCGACGAGCTGGGAGGAGCCGCCCAAAATCCCAGCGCTCCCCAGGGAGATCGGCATCCAAAGGACACGAAGGCACACGGAGGTGCCTCCTCCCCCATCGGGGGGGGGCGGGGGCGAACGCCCTTCGGAATAAGGGACCCATGGCCCCGAGACGGCCCAAAAGGGGCCCCCAAGACGGCCACAAGTGGGCCCCCAAGAAGACCCCCAAGAGGGCCCACACACAGCCCAGGTGACCTCCAAGACGGTCCTGCAACGTCCCGAGACGACCAAGAGGTCCTTAAGGACGGAAAGCGTCAGACGGGCCAACAAGATAGACGGCCAAAGAGGGCCCCAAGAGGCTCGAAGAGAACCCCAAGAGGAGAGGCACCCGAGAGACCCACCAAGGGCCCCAAGAGGCCACCAAGAAGCCACCAAAGCCTCCGTTTCCTCCTCCTCCCTCCTCCTCCACCTCCTACTAATGACGGCCCTGGCGACATGCCGAAAGGCCACACTTGCGGACCAGTTTCATGAAGGGGGGGGTCGCCCATTTATTCCGCCCTGTGGGCTCGATGTGGCCAGCTCCCAGGCGAGCGGCAACTCGGAGCAAGGGCGACACCGGCCGTGTAGAAGCTCGAGGGCTGGGCTGAGGAAATTGCAAGACAATTAGCTGCCAGGAGACTCCCACGACGGCCAAAACGGGCGAATGACGGCCGATATCGGGGAGACGTAAGACCCGGGTACGGGGGACTCGGAAATCCCCGACGAGGTCGTCAAAAAAATGACGAGGCCGAGCCTGCAGCTTGACGAGGCCTCCCGCTGCAGACATCCCACGAAACTCCTCCTCGTCAAAATCCGAGGCGCGGTCGTCAAAAAACGATGGCGAACCCGAGTCCCGGCAAACCTGGGTCTTGCGCTCCCCCGACGATATTGCTCGAAGGCGAGAACATTCCAAAAAGCAAAGGCTTGAAAGATGTTCGTGTGCTGGGCTCTCCGGTGAGAAGAGCACACGGAACGGCCCGATGAGCCCCCAAGGGCCCCAAAGGGCGCCGCAAGAAAGCCCAGAACGGCCACAGGACGGCCACGAGACACCCAAGAGAGGCCCGAGACGCCCTCAGAGGAGCCCCAATGAGGCCCCAGACGGCCCAAGGGGGCCACGAGCAAGCCCAAGAGAGGCCGAGGTGTGCCCCAGGACGGCCCCGAGACGCGCCAAAACGCTTCCCAGACCCACCAAGAAACTCCAAGATGTCCCCAAGAAGCCCCCACTGAGGCCACCGGCGAGCCCAAGAAAGCCCCAACGCGCTGGGACCACCAAAGATCATCCTCCTCTTACTCCTCCCCCTACTCCTCCATCCTTGTCCGTATAAACAACTCCTCCCTGTCGCGACCCCAGACATGTCGGTAGGGCGGGCCAGACGTTTCGCCTGAGACTCCCTCATCATG